TTCATCAGTCTTTATTGTAGAGGAGATTCATCAGTCTTTATTGTAGAGGAGATTCATCAGTCTTTATTGTAGAGGAGATTTCATCAGTCTTTATTGTAGAGGAGATTCATCAGTCTTTATTGTGGAGGAGATTCTCAGTCTTTATTGTGGAGGAGATTCATCAGTCTTTATTGTGGAGGAGAATTCATCGTCTTTATTGTGGAGGAGATTCATCAGTCTTTATTGTAGAGGAGATTCATCAGTCTTTATTGTAGAGGAGATTCACCAGTCTTTATTGTAGAGGAGATTCATCAGTCTTTATTGTGGAGGAGATTCATCAGTCTTTATTGTAGAGGAGATTCACCAGTCTTTATTGTAGAGGAGATTCATCAGTCTTTATTGTAGAGGAGATTCATCAGTCTCTATTGTAGAGGAGATTCATCAGTCTTTATTGTAGAGGAGATTCACCAGTCTTTATTGTAGAGGAGATTCATCAGTCTTTATTGTAGAGGAGATTCATCAGTCTTTATTGTGGAGGAGATTCATCAGTCTTTATTGTAGAGGAGATTCACCAGTCTTTATTGTAGAGGAGATTCATCAGTCTTTATTGTAGAGGAGATTCATCAGTCTTTATTGTGGAGGAGATTCATCAGTCTTTATTGTGGAGGAGATTCATCAGTCTTTATTGTGGAGGAGATTCATCAGTCTTTATTGTAGAGGAGATTCATCAGTCTTTATTGTGGAGGAGATTCATCAGTCTTTATTGTGGAGGAGATTCATCAGTCTTTATTGTAGAGGAGATTCATCAGTCTTTATTGTGGAGTAGATTCACCAATCTTTATTGTAGAGGAGATTCACCAGTCTTTATTGTAGAGGAGATTCACCAGTTTTTATTGTAGAGGAGATTCACCAGTCTTTATTGTAGAAGAGATTTCACCAGTCTTTATTGTTAGAGGAGATTCACCAGTCTTTATTGTAGAGGAGATTCACCGGTCTTTATTGTAGAGGAGATTCACCAGTCTTTATTGTAGAGGAGATTAACCAGTCTTCATTGTAGAGGAGATTCACCAGTCTTTATTGTAGAGGAGATTCACCAGTCTTCATTGTAGAGGAGATTCACCAGTCTTTATTGTAGAGGAGATTCACCAGTCTTTATTGTAGAAGAGATTCATCAGTCTTTATTGTAGAGGAGATTCACCAGTCTTTATTGTAGAGGAGATTCACCAGTCTTCATTGTAGAGGAGATTCACCAGTCTTTATTGTAGAGGAGATTCACCAGTCTTTATTGTAGAGGAGATTCACCAGTCTTCATTGTAGAGGAGATTCACTAGTCTTCATTGTAGAGGAGATTCACCAGTCTTCATTGTAGAGGAGATTCACCAGTCTTCATTGTAGAGGAGATTCACCAGTCTTTATTGTAGAGGAGATTCACCAGTCTTCATTTGTAGAGGAGATTCACCAGTCTTTATTGTAGAGGAGATTCATCAGTCTTTATTGTGGAGGAGATTCACCAGTCTTTATTGTAGAGGAGATTCACCAGTCTTTATTGTAGAGGAGATTCATCATTCTTTATTGTAGAGGAGATTCATCAGTCTTTATTGTAGAGGAGAGATTCACCAGTCTTTATTGTAGAGGAGATTCACCAGTCTTTATTGTAGAGGAGATTCACCAGTCTTCATTGTAGAGGAGATTCACCAGTCTTTATTGTAGAGGAGATTCACCAGTCTTTATTGGAGAGGAGATTCATCAGTCTTTATTGTAGAGGAGATTCACCAGTCTTTATTGTAGAGGAGATTCATCAGTCTTTATTGTGGAGGAGATTCATCAGTCTTTATTGTGGAGGAGATTCATCAGTCTTTATTGTAGAGGAGATTCATCAGTCTTTATTGTGGAGGAGATTCATCAGTCTTTATTGTGGAGGAGATTCATCAGTCTTTATTGTAGAGGAGATTCATCAGTCTTTATTGTGGAGTAGATTCACCAATCTTTATTGTAGAGGAGATTCACCAGTCTTTATTGTAGAGGAGATTCACCAGTCTTTATTGTAGAGGAGATTCACCAGTCTTTATTGTAGAAGAGATTCACCAGTCTTTATTGTAGAGGAGATTCACCAGTCTTTATTGTAGAGGAGATTCACCGGTCTTTATTGTAGAGGAGATTCACCAGTCTTTATTGTAGAGGAGATTAACCAGTCTTCATTGTAGAGGAGATTCACCAGTCTTTATTGTAGAGGAGATTCACCAGTCTTCATTGTAGAGGAGATTCACCAGTCTTTATTGTAGAGGAGATTCACCAGTCTTTATTGTAGAAGAGATTCATCAGTCTTTATTGTAGAGGAGATTCACCAGTCTTTATTGTAGAGGAGATTCACCAGTCTTCATTGTAGAGGAGATTCACCAGTCTTTATTGTAGAGGAGATTCACCAGTCTTTATTGTAGAGGAGATTCACCAGTCTTCATTGTAGAGGAGATTCACTAGTCTTCATTGTAGAGGAGATTCACCGGTCTTCATTGTAGAGGAGATTCACCAGTCTTCATTGTAGAGGAGATTCACCAGTCTTTATTGTAGAGGAGATTCACCAGTCTTCATTGTAGAGGAGATTCACCAGTCTTTATTGTAGAGGAGATTCATCAGTCTTTATTGTGGAGGAGATTCACCAGTCTTTATTGTAGAGGAGATTCACCAGTCTTTATTGTAGAGGAGATTCATCATTCTTTATTGTAGAGGAGATTCATCAGTCTTTATTGTAGAGGAGATTCACCAGTCTTTATTGTAGAGGAGATTCACCAGTCTTTATTGTAGAGGAGATTCACCAGTCTTCATTGTAGAGGAGATTCACCAGTCTTTATTGTAGAGGAGATTCACCAGTCTTTATTGGAGAGGAGATTCATCAGTCTTTATTGTAGAGGAGATTCACCAGTCTTTATTGTAGAGGAGATTCATCAGTCTTTATTGTAGAGGAGATTCACCAGTCTTTATTGTAGAAAAGATTCACTAGTCTTTATTGTAGAGGAGATTCACCAGTCTTCATTGTAGAGGAGATTCATCAGTCTTCATTGTAGAGGAGATTCACCAGTCTTCATTGTAGAGGAGATTCACCAGTCTTTATTGTAGAGGAGATTCACTAGTCTTTATTGTAGAGGAGATTCACCAGTCATCATTGTAGAGGAGATTCACCAGTCTTCATTGTAGAGGAGATTCACCAGTCTTCATTGTAGAGCAGATTCACCAGTCTTTATTGTAGAGGAGATTCACCAGTCTTTATTGTAGAGGAGATTCACCAGTCTTTATTGGAGAGGAGATTCACCAGTCTTTATTGTAGAGGAGATTCACCAGTCTTTATTGTAGAGGAGATTCACCAGTCTTCATTGTAGAGGAGATTCACCAGTCTTTATTGTAGAGGAGATTCACCAGTCTTTATTGGAGAGGAGATTCATCAGTCTTTATTGTAGAGGAGATTCACCAGTCTTTATTGTAGAGGAGATTCATCAGTCTTTATTGTAGAGGAGATTCACCAGTCTTTATTGTAGAAAAGATTCACTAGTCTTTATTGTAGAGGAGATTCACCAGTCTTCATTGTAGAGGAGATTCATCAGTCTTCATTGTAGAGGAGATTCACCAGTCTTCATTGTAGAGGAGATTCACCAGTCTTTATTGTAGAGGAGATTCACTAGTCTTTATTGTAGAGGAGATTCACCAGTCTTCATTGTAGAGGAGATTCACCAGTCTTCATTGTAGAGGAGATTCACCAGTCTTCATTGTAGAGCAGATTCACCAGTCTTTATTGTAGAGGAGATTCACCAGTCTTTATTGTAGAGGAGATTCACCAGTCTTTATTGGAGAGGAGATTCATCAGTCTTTATTGTAGAGGAGATTCACCAGTCTTTATTGTAGAGGAGATTCATCAGTCTTTATTGTAGAGGAGATTCACCAGTCTTTATTGTAGAAAAGATTCACTAGTCTTTATTGTAGAGGAGATTCACCAGTCTTCATTGTAGAGGAGATTCATCAGTCTTCATTGTAGAGGAGATTCACCAGTCTTCATTGTAGAGGAGATTCACCAGTCTTTATTGTAGAGGAGATTCACTAGTCTTTATTGTAGAGGAGATTCACCAGTCTTCATTGTAGAGGAGATTCACCAGTCTTCATTGTAGAGGAGATTCACCAGTCTTCATTGTAGAGGAGATTCACCAGTCTTCATTGTAGAGCAGATTCACCAGTCTTTATTGTAGAGGAGATTCACCAGTCTTTATTGTAGAGGAGATTCACCAGTCTTCATTGTAGAGGAGATTCATCAGTCTTCATTGTAGAGGAGATTCACCAGTCTTCATTGTAGAGGAGATTCACCAGTCTTCATTGTAGAGGAGATTCACTAGTCTTTATTGTAGAGGAGATTCACCAGTCTTCATTGTAGAGGAGATTCACCAGTCTTCATTGTAGAGGAGATTCACCAGTCTTCATTGTAGAGGAGATTCACCAGTCTTCATTGTAGAGCAGATTCACCAGTCTTTATTGTAGAGGAGATTCACCAGTCTTTATTGTAGAGGAGATTCACCAGTCTTCATTGTAGAGGAGATTCACCAGTGTTTATTAGTCGAGTGGAGAGAATAATAACGGAGGTAGTCGAAGAACTTATATTATGAGGTGATCAGTCCTTCGACTTCGAGGAATCTCAAGGAGACGGAGGAAGATGTGAAGTGCTTTGAGGTGATCAGTCCCTCGGAGCGAGGTGTTCACTCCTAAAGTCTTGATGAATCTACAAACATGACTTAGTAGTAATGATAGAATTACCGACAGAATATTTAGTTAATGGCCACAGATGCAACTAATTTGCCATTATATTGTGGCAACGTTTCTCTCTCCAGGAACTTTGTTAAGACCGTTAAGGCTTCACAAAGCTCCCGGAGAGCGAAACGTTGCCACAATAAAATGTCACTTTATTTGCAAAGGTGTCTTATTCATCCACCAGTCTGTTTGTACGAGCAATTAATGTATAATACCCGTGTGTTGTGATGTTGCAGGTGGGCAAGTTGTTCTCGTCCGTGGTGAAGCACTGGGGCTGGAACGTTCTTGGTCTTATATACGAGGATCGGGATGACGAGAAGGGGAACTCAGTCTGCCACTTCACTTTAGCTTCCATCTACAACAGCTTCCACACGAAGCCCCACACGGAGAAGTTCAACAAGAACACCAACAGGAACTTCACCCAGCTGCTGATGAACTTCCACGACAAAGCGAGGAGTGAGTGTTGAAGTGAGAGGGGAGTTACTTCCCGGTGACTTGAGAGGGAATTGGGAGTGGCATGCAGCCCTCTCGAGTGAGTAATAAAGAACACGCGGTGCAGAGGACAGTTTTATTTCTCCATCAAGCTTTATTAAGCTTCTTCCCGAGGGGGGTAACAACATCGATAAATAACTCCTCTGATTTGCCTGGCTTTATTACCCAGTGACTTCCTCTGTGTTCCAGGGACTTATTTCCCTCAAGCTGGTACCGCAGCTTAACGCATGATTTACCCGCATCAAGCGTGAACATCATTCCTCGCATGATTTATACGCATGAATGTGTGATTATGTTTCCTCGTAAGATATATGTGAGAAAAGTGTAAGTATCTTTCGTTGCTCGATTTACAATGGATCAAATTTACATATCAATCTTCGCATGATTTATATAGGTAAATTGCCTTCACTTGCATCTGTGTATATATATGTATTTGTGTATATATTTTATGTCTCTCGTATTCACTCAGATTTATATCAAAAGCCTCACAAATAATATGCAAAAATTCTATTTCCTGCACTGAGTCAAATGGTTTTCTATTGCGTTTTTGAATGATTCTAATTTCTCTAAAGTCTAAATTGATCACAACATTTAGCTGTGAATGTTGTGTGATTAAATATATATTGCTTTCATTTATCTGCCTTAAAAAGCCTTCATTCAGTGATATTTGAAAGAAGTGTGGATGAGACGTGAGTTAAGTGGGGAGAGGAGGGGGTGTGTTGGGGTGGTGGGGAGAGGGGGTGTGTTGGGGTGGTGGGGAGAGGGGGTGTGTTGGGGGTGGTGGGGGAGGGGGGTGTGTGGGGTGGTGGGGTGAGGGGGTGTTTGGGTGGTGGGGAGAGGGGGTGTGGGTGGTTGGGGGTGGTGGGGAGAGGGGGTGTTTGGGTGGTGGGGAGGGGGTGTTGGGGTGGTGGGGAGAGGGGGTGTGTTGGGGTGGTGGGGAGAGGGGGTGGTTGGGGGTGGTGGGGAGAGGGGGTGTGTTGGGGTGGTGGGGGAGGGGGGGGTGTTTGGGGGGTGGTGGGGAGAAAGGGTGTGTTGGGGGGGGGGAGGAGGGTGTGTTGGGGTGGTGGGGAGAGGGGGGTGTGTTGGGGTGGGGGGGGAGAGGGGGTGTGTTGGGGTGGTGGGGGAGGGGGTTGTTGGGTGGTGGGGATGAGGGGTGTGTTGGGGTGGTGGGGAGAGGGGGTGTGTTGGGGTGGTGGGTTTGAGGGGGTGTGTGGTGGTTGGGGTGGTGGGGAGAGGGGGGGTTTTGTTGGGGTGGTGGGGGAGAGGGGGTTGTGTTGGGGTGGTGGGGAGAGGGGTGGTTGGGTGGTGGGAGAGGGGGTGTGTTGGGGTGGTGGGAGGGGGTGTGTTGGGGTGGTTGGGGAGAGGGGTGTGTTGGGTGGTGGGTAGAGGGGGTGTGTTGGGGTGGTGGGGAGAGGGGGTGTTTTTGGGGTGGTGGGGAGAGGGGGGTGTGTTGGGGTTGTGGGAGAGGGGGGTTTTGTTGGGGGTGGTGGGGAGAGGGGGTTTTTGTTGGGGTGGTGGGGAGAGGGGGTGTGTGGGGGTGGTGGGTAGAGGGGGTGTGTTGGGGTGGTGGGGAGAGGGGGTGTGTTGGGGTGGTGGGGAGAGGGGTGTGTTGGGGTGGTGGGGAGAGGGGGTTGTGTTGGGGTGGTGGGGAGAGGGGGTGTGTTGGGGTGGTGGGGAGAGGGGGTGTGTTGGGGTGGGGGGAGGGGGGTGTGTTGGGGTGGTGGGGAGAGGGGGTGTGTTGGGGTGGTGGGGAGAGGGGGTGTGTTGGGGTGGTGGGGAGAGGGGGTGTGTTGGGGTGGTGGGGAGAGGGGGGGTGTTGGGGGGGGTGGGGGAGAGGGTGTGTTGGGGTGGTGGGGAGAGGGGGTGTTTTTGGGGTGTTTGGGGGGGAGAGGGGGTGTGTTGGGGTGGTGGGGAGAGGGGGGGTGTGTTGGGGTGGTGGGGAGAGGGGGGGGTGTGTTGGGGTGGTGGGGGGAGGGGGGTGTGTTGGGGTGGTGGGGAGAGAGGGTGTGTTGGGGGTGGTGGGGAGAGGGGGTGTGTTGGGGGTGGTTTGGGGAGAGGGGGTGTGTTTGGGGTGGTGGGGGAGAGGGGGTGTGTTGGGGTGGTGGGGAGAGGGGTTGTGTTGGGGTGGTGGGGAGAGGGGGTGTGTTGGGGTGGTGGGGAGAGGGGGTGTTGTTGGGGTGGTGGGGAGAGGGGGTGGGGGTTTGGGGGGTGGGGAGAGGGGGTGTGTTGGGGTGGTGGGGAGAGGGGGTGTGTTGGGGTGGTGGGGAGAGAGGGTGTGTTGGGGTGGTGGGGAGAGGGGGTGTGTTGGGGGTGGTGGGGGAGAGGGGGTGTGTTGGGGTGGTGGGGAGAGGGGGTGTGTTGGGGTGGGTGGGGAGGGGGGGTGTGTTGGGGTGGTGGGGAGAGGGGGGTGTGTTGGGGTGGTGGGGTGGGGGTTGGGGGGGTGGTGGGGGAGGGGGTGTGTTGGGGTGGTGGGGAGAGGGGGTGGTGTTGGGGTGGTGGGGAGAGGGGGGTGTGTTTGGGGTGGTGGGGGGAGGGGGTTTTGTTGGGGTGGTGGGGAGAGGGGGTGTGTTGGGTGGTGGGGAGGGGGGGGTGTGTTGGGGGGGGGTGGGGAGAGGGGGTGTGTTGGGGTGGGGGGGGGAGAGGGGGTGTGTTGGGGGGTGGGGAGGAGAGAGGGTGTGTTGGGGTGGTGGGGGAGAGGGGAGTGTGTTTGGGGGGGGTGGGGAGAGGGGGTGTGTTGGGGTGGTGGGGAGAGGGGGTGTGTTGGGGTGGGTGGGGAGAGGGGGTGTTGTTGGGGTGGTGGGGAGGGGAGTGTGTTGGGGTGGTGGGGAGAGGGGGTGTGTTGGGGTGGTGGGGGAGAGGGGTGTGTTGGGGGGGGTGGGGAGATGGGGTGTGTTGGGTGGTGGGGAGAGAGGGGTGTGGGTTGGGGTGGTGGGGAGAGTGGGTGGGTTGGGGTGGTGGGGAGAGGGGGGTGTGTTGGGGTGGTGGGGGAGGAGGGGAGGGGTGTGTTGGGGTGGTGGGGAGAGGGGGTGTTTTTGGGGTGGTGGGGAGAGAGGGTGTGTTGGGTGGTGGGGGAGAGAGGGTTGTGTTGGGGGGGTGGGGAGAGAGGGTGTGTTGGGGTGGGGGGGGAGAGGGGGTGTGTTGGGTGGTGGGAGAGGGGGTGGTGTTGGGGTGGTGGGGAGAGGGGGGTGTGTTGGGGTGGTGGGGAGAGGGGGGTGTGGTTGGGGTGGTGGGGAGGGGAGGGTGGTGTTGGGGTGGTGGGGAGAGAGGGTGGTTGTGGTGGTGGTGGGGGAGAGAGGGTGTGTTGGGGTGGTGGGGAGAGGGGGTTTTGTTGGGGTGGTGGGGGGGAGGGGGTGTGTTGGGGTGGTGGGGGAGGGGGTGTTGTTGGGGGGTGGTGGGGAGAGGGGGGTGTGTTGGGGTGGTGGGGAGAGGGAGTGTGTTGGGGTGGGGGGAGTGGGGTTGTTGGGGTGGTGGGGAGAGGGGTGTGTTGGGGTGGTGGGGAGGGGGATTTTGTTGGGGGGTGGGGGAGGGGGTGTGTTGGGGTGGTGGGGAAAAGGGGTTTTGTTGGGGTGGTGGGGAGAGGGGGTTGTTGGGGTTGGTGGGGAGAGGAGGGGGTGTTTGGGGGGGGTTGGGGAGAGAGGGGTGTGTTGGGGTGGGTGGGGAGGGGGGTGTGTTGGGGTGGTGGGGGGAGAGGGGGTGTGTTGGGTGGTGGGAGAGGGGGTGTGTTGGGTGGTGGGGAGAGGGGGTGTGTTGGGTGGTGGGGAGAGGGGAGTGTGTTGGGGTGGTGGGGGGGTGAGGGGTGGTGTGTGGGGTGGTGGGGAGAGGGGGTGTGTTGGGGTGGTGGGGAGAGAGGGTGTGTTGGGGTGGTGGGGAGAGGGGGGTGGTTGGGGTGGTGGGGGAGAGGGTGTGTTGGGGGTGGTGGGGAGAGGGGGTGTGTTGGGGTGGTGGGGAGAGAGGTGAGCTAGGTTGGTTGGGTTGGAGGGGCCCCTGTGGGTGAGCTCAGGGGGTGGGTGGATGGTGGCTGGGGGGGCTAGGGTGGCCTGGGAGGGTGGTCAGGGGTGAGCTCAGGAGGGGTGAGTGGGGGTGGCTGGAAGAGGGTGGCTCTGGGGGTGAGTAAGAGGGTGGCTCTGTGGGGGAGCCCCGGGGATGAATAGGGGTGAGCTGGGTGAGCTGGTGGTGAGCAGGGGGGTGAGCTCAAAGGTGAGCTCTGGGGTGGGTCAGGGAGGGTGGCTCTGGAGGGTGAGGGTTGGGGTTTAGCTAGGAGGTGAGCTGGGGGGTGAGTTCAGGGGGTGCTGAGGGTGAGCTTGGGGGGGTGAGCTAGGGGGTGAGCTCTGGTGGTGAGCTCAGAGGATGAGCTCATGGGTAAGTGGACCGCCTAGAGGTCTTGAGGTGATGCCTCAGGGATGGTGGCTGCCTGCAGGGTGGTGGCTGCCCAGCAGGGGGTAAGGGTGAGCCCCAGGGGGTGAGGGGGTGGCTGCAGGGGGGTGGAGCCTCAGGGGGGTGGACGCTGAGGGGGCTGCAAAAGGTATCCAGGATGGGTGCTGGAGGGGATCCAAAAGGGGGTCGTGCAGGCTTAAGGCGGAGGGGAGCTGGGAGGTGGACCCATGTGACCGCGGTGGCTTAAAATGAAACCTGGGGAAATGGATGTCCGTGAGAGGGAGGAGGGAGAGAGGAGGGAGGGACGGAGGGGAGGGTGGAGAGTGGGAGGGACTGAGAGGGGTGAGGGAGAGAGGGGAGAGGGAAATTTCCTTGCCTCGGTTTCATACCCCTCAGGCCATTGGGCTTTGGTTGACCTAAAGGTGGATAAGGTGTGTGTGTGGAGGTGGTGGGGTGGTGTTGATGCTTGGTGGGATGTGTGGTTGGGAGCTGGTGGTGCTGTGGTGGGCCGGTGTTTGATGGCTGGTGTGCTGCTGGTGCCGTGGGCGTGGTGGGGAGTGGGTGAGCTGGGTGGCTGGGTGAGGTGGGAGCGGTGGCTGGTGGGTCGCGGTGGTGGGAGTGGGTGGGTGGTCTGCTGGTTGCTGCGGTGTGTGCTGGTGATGTGCTGGTGCTGCTGGTTGATCGCTCGGCTTGCTGTGGTGATGTGCTGGGTGCTGTGGTGTTGCTGTGGTGCTGCGCTGG